TGCAGGCCCTACATAGTCACTAAAATCAAGCCACAAACTTGGCTCTGTACTTCCTGATAGCCAAAGCAAAAAGAGAAATATGATGCTATAAATTTCCTATTTTGACAAAAGAAAAGCATATCAGTTTTTCAGGAGAGCCAAAGCTTTTCAGAGACATTAGGTTCTAAAAGAATTTCTCCTATGAACTTCTTCAAGGAGGCACTGAGTCTGTAGCTAGTCTTCAACAATATAAACCCTTATAAGGATTATAGTAACAAGTTATATAAAGCTATTTCTGACAGTGTCCTTCCATAAAGCAAAGGGCAGACACTAAAGCCCAACTCAGTAAAAGTAACAATGGAGAAGCTGAGATAATGGCGCACGCAGATGGCCCAGCTTCATCAAGTCTAAAACCAAGATTGGCCGCAGGAGCAGGTAGACAGTAGGTCCTTCCAAAAATTACCATAAATATCACTTCTTCCATGTGGGTGTTAGACAGCAGTCAATTTGCAAATGGATGGTTTCTAAATTCCAGCCCAGTTCAAATAGATATAAATGGCATTTTTAGTCTTCACCTACTTGCATTAAGACTTAGAAGTCCTCCTCTGCCCCCACCACACACTGTCCACTCCCAAATCAATGGATTGAGATCAGATTCCTCTGAGCCAGGGAGGGGGGAATGCACCTATTAATATTACTGCTGTTATTAATAGCTAGCACTCACTGCTTAGGTGCCAGGCTCTGTGCCTGGTTTCCCCTGCAGTCTCATTTAATCCTCCCAACAGTCCTGTGTGATGCAAACTATTATTAGTACCATTTTACAAACAAGGAACAAAGATTTAGAGAACCTTAGTAGACTGCCAAGGTCCCAGAGCATAACCAGGACTTTCTGATTCCAAAGTCCAGGCTCTGAGCCCCACATATAGTGCCTCCTGGTATTCATGAAATGTGATTACTGACAGAAATGCTATTTGTTAGAAGAAAACAGCGAGGCCTAGAGTAAGCTTACTGGGCTGGGTAAGAGTTGTTTATTATTAATAACAACAAAATAACAATGCAGCTTTTGGAGCCTCTGCCAACCTATAAACAGAACAAAGGAATGAAAACTATTGTGAAAAGCAGAAACAGTGCAAGTGAAAGAAATTCTGGGAGAACACTATCTTATCCCAAAAAAAGAGAAGTCTCTTTTCTTCTTCTCTTAGTCTATTTCCCCCTCTAGAGACTCCAAACTTTGGTTCTCTTGGTCATTCATGCATTCAACCAACAAATATTTATCCAGCGTCTACTCCACACCAAGCACGTTCAACAGTAAGCAAGACAGAATCTCTCAAGCTTCCATGCAGACAAACAAGTAGATAACATATTTCCAGATGGTATTAAAGTGCTTTGAAGAAAATAACGTTAAGGGGATTAAGAGAGGCTGAGGGGAAGAGAAGGGAGGAGCTGTTCTAGATAACTGGCCGGTCAGGAAGGAGCTCTGAGAACCAAGTGAGAGTCAGCCATGCAAAAATTTGGAGAAAGAGCCAGGCGCAGTGGCTCATGCCTGTAATCCCAACTCTTCAGAGGCCTGAGACGGGCGGATCACCTGAGGTCAGGAATTCAAGACCAGCCTGGATAACACGGTGAAACCCCGTCTTTACTAAAAATACAAAACTTAGCCAGGCGTGGTGGTGTGTGCCTGTAATCCCAGCTACTCGGGAGGCTGAGTGAGGCAAGAGAATCGCTTGAACTAGGGAGACCGAGGTCGCAGTGAGCAGATCAGACCACTGCGTTCCAGCCTGGGTGACAGTGAGACCCTGTCTCAAAAAAAAAAAAAAAAAAAAAAAAAA